TTTTTTTTGTAGAGGAGGGATTTTGCTATGTTTCCCAGGATGCCAGGCATTTTTCCAAAAATTTTTCCGGTGCCAAAATGATGCTGTGATGTGGTTGGCTCTCTATATAGCTATAAAACGCCATGAACTACAATGCACCTGAAATTAATATGCTGGATTCCTTCCTCTGTCAACTGACCAGCTGCCCCCCTACCCATGAGAGCCTTCTCTTCCTGGCCTCCCAAGTTTCCCGTTTCTCCTCTGGTTTCTCTTTCCATAGTGGCTGGGTTCTTTGCTCCGGTTTATACATGCTTCTGTGGGCCTCTGGGAACCTCTCTCTGCTTGGCATTGGTTCCATGGGATATGCCCTCTGGCAGGAGAGAAAAGGCAGCATACAGTGCACACCTCTCTCTTGTCACTCTTTTACTGCTCCCAGCTCCTCCCTTTCACCTCTATCTCTGCTGAGTTTCAGAAGCAATATTATGAAATGCCTGGTGGCGGCTATCTGTAGATACCCACCTACTTATCTACCTGCCTGACCAGGCTAGGGGCTGGCATTTTTCCCTGTCTTGGTTGACCCGGTAACTGGGTGTTGAATAAATGCTATTGGTGAAAATTCTCAGACCCTAGACAGAGACTCAGAACAAGTTTGTTTCATTTTTAGTCCAACCAAGCAGAACAGGCTGTGCACAACAGTGTTTCTATTTCCAGAAGATAAAATCTCTTGGAAAAACAAGTTCTACAGGTTCACCACTCACTGCATAAAATGTTTCATTTGTTTGAAATTCATTTCTGTCAAACCTTGAGGCAGAATCCCAGGATCAGGGGTCCCAGCAGCCCCGAAGGTCTAGGGTGAGGCGAGGGCAGTGGTTCTCAAACTGTGGTCCCTGGAGCCAGCAGCACAGACATCACCCGGAAACTTGTTAGAAAGGTACCTTCTACCCTACCCCAGACCTAGTAAATCAGAATCTCTGGGGGTGGGGCCCAGCCACCTAAACAGGCCCTGGAGTGATTCTGAGGCTTGCTGCAGTTTCAGAGCCATTGTCTAGAATTTAGGAGGCGGGAACAGCAAAGAGAAAATGGCGAGGCCTGGCCAGGTGCAGTGGCTCACTCACACCTATAATCCTGGCACTGAGGCAGGTGGATCACCTGAGGTCAGAAGTTCAAGACCAGCCTGGTGGCAAAACCCCCTCTCTACTAAAAATACAAAAATTAGCCAGGCGTGGTGGCACATGCCTGTAGTACCAGCTACTCGGGAGGCTGAGGCAGGAGGATTGCTTGAACCCAGAAAGCAGAGGTTGCAGTGAGCCAAGATCATGCCACTGCACTCCAGACTGGCGGATAGAGCAAGACTCTGTCTCAAAAAAATAGAAAAATAAAATGGCGAGGGCTGTGTCATGGCTCACCCCTGTAATCTCAGCACTTCAGGAGGCCAAGGTGAAGATCACTGGAGGCCAAGAGTTTGATACCATCTTGGGCAACATAGAGAGACCCCATCTCTATCTTTTAAACAAAATTTTTAAAGAGAGAGAAAATGGCCACCACAAGCATGCAGGCTCCCTGAGAAGCTGTCTTTTACAAGCAGCTGGGCAGGCTGAGCCCTGTAAAGGGAAGCCTGCCCAGTCAGAACAGCGCCAGGCATCTCAGGCTGGTCGAGAGGAGCCACGTACCCTTCCAGATATAGATCTTGCCACAGAGCCCATTGTCCAGCACGAAGCAGTCATCAGATATCAGCAGTTCGAGGGCAAAGGGGCTGGAGTCAGCCACCTTGGTCAGGTTCATCTGTCCAGTGGCATCAGAGACCTGGGGAGGAAGGGTAGCGCCTCATCTCATTCCCCACACACACCAGCCCTCACCTCAGCCTGAGGAGGGGGAGGCTGGCCCTCCCTAGGTCCCTCCCACTCTGTCCCCCCTGCCCATCACCCAGGCCCCAGGAGCAGACAAGAGAGTGAAGACCTGAAAAGCAAATCCCAGGCAGCCCCACTCCCTCCCATCACCCCAATCCAATCCCTGCAGCACAGGGGCCCCAAACCCATTTGGAAATTAGGTGGATTCCAAATTACAAAGAAATGCACAGAATTCAAGAAAGAAAAGGTTTCAAGCCTTCACCCAGCATGGGCTGGAAGTGAGGGGCACACATATTCTCAGGAAGGCCTCCCATCCGCCCACTCCCCATCCTCCTCTCCCTCCAAGCCCTGTATAACTCCCCACCTCCCGCCTGGGTTCCAGCCCCAACTCCCCCCTGCCTTCCTCCTTCCAACCTGCTTGCACGCAGCTGTGCTGTGCAGGCTCCCACCCTCCCTGCTGCCAGGTCCTAGGGCAGGTTTGGGGGGCCCACCTTATACAGAGCCGCAGCTTGGGAATTTGCCTGGTCAGCTGTGAGGTCTTCCTCGGGGTTGCCCTCCTTCAGAGCAGGCTTGGGGCCTAGGACCTGCAGGGGCCAGGGCAGGCCAGGTTTACAGGAACCCTCGCCCTGGAACTTCCCAGCCCGTCATGCCCAGGGCCACCGCTTCTGGTGGAGCAAACCACACCCTGCACTAGGGTACCCAGCAGAGAAGAGGAGAGTGAGGGCTGGGTCCAGCTCACCCACCAGACAGGCTGCTCAGCCTCAAGGATGGGCATCTACCCAAAGGGGCACCCTGTGAGCTGGCCACAGCCCTGGCTAGTACCCAGACGTCCCCTGCCACCCTCCACTGGCCACCCTCAACCCTCAGCTCATCACCACCTCTTTTGACCACTTCCAAGCAGAGGCTCCCAGCCACCAACTCCAGTGTTCCCTAACCTGGATCATCTCAGCAGGCTCCTCCCCATCAGTGACAATCTCCACCTGGGCCTTGCCCTGTCGCTCACTGTCCCGGATGGCCAGGGCCAGGTCTCTTGCCTTGTTGCGTTCCAGGATGTTAGACTTGGCACCACACCAGGCGAAGATGTTCTGCAAGGAAGCAGGGAAGCCCGGGTCAGAGCCAGCTGCCTGTGTCCTGTCCCCTGGCTCAGAGGAAGGGCCCCTAGC